CATTCATTCATTCATTCATTCATTCATTCATTCATTTAATTTAATTCCTGGCATTAATAATAATATATGTACAACTGATTGATCGCATATATTTCATTCATTTATTAATCCATTCAATTAATCGAATTTCTATCATTAATAACATTTAAAAACTGATCGATCCTATCATATTTCCTGTAGGAGCAAAATTTGATATAAATTTTTTTTTTTTTTTTGAGAAATAGAATTTGTCTGCAATGTTTATTTTGATTAATCATCAAAAAAAAAGAAAGGAAAACTATTTAGTGAAAAATTTCTTCATTTAGCATATACAAATACATATCTATTGTGTGCTAATATTTGCTACCGATCGGTACCTGTCTTGTTTTGCTGTCTTAGTTTGCCTGCATGCTTGCATGCTTTTTATTTCCATACTTTCCTATTTTTTTAACTTTTTTTCTCCCTTTTTATCTGTTCCAGAGCATTCATTATTTCATTTTCCAGTAACCTGCACATATTTTAAAAGAGTTTTTTCTTTTTTTTTTAGATTTTATTATCATAAAGAAGTATTTTTCTATAATATTTCTTTTAGTTGAAATAATTCATGGAAGCAGAAAAAGAAAAGAAAAGAAGTTATGATAATATGAGAGGGAAGAGAAGTTGACAAGCAATTTTGCAATCATTAAATTCTCTTTTTTTTACTTAAGGAAAGGATTATGGTATGTAGTAGTAATGCAATGTATTAGTATATATATATATATATATGTCTGTTTGTCTGTCTGTGTAACCGGTTGTTAATTCAGAAAAAAAAGAGAAAAAAGAAAAGAAATGTGAAAAAATTTTCGACGTTTTGAGCTAAAATTTGTTTGATCATAGTTTTATTGAGGTATAAAAATGGACGATGGTATGGGAGAATGAAAAAGAATGGCTATTGCTAGGAGAGCAAAGACTGTCAACTGTCGACTGTCACGTTAATATATGAATTACCTGTTATAGGTAGATTGCTTTACGGAAGATTACAGGGAAAGCGGAGAG